AAACTCTTGTTCTACCAATTCATAAAATTTCCGCCCTATATAATTATTGTCTTCTCTTTCCAAAGTTATTGAAAAAATTGCTAAAACAAGAATTAAGTACCTCTCACTTTGAAAAGTTTAACATTATCCCACAAAATCTCAGTTTGGATTTCAGAAAAAAAAGCGACACATGGCGCCATATTTGCTCTTTTGCAGGAGGTATATCTCATATTAAAGAGGGAGATTCGGTTGCGGCGGTGCTTTGCGATTTCTCAAAACCCTTTGACTGTGCAAATCACGAAATACTGCTGCAGAAGCTGGGTCGCTTTGGCTTCAGGTGCTCCTCAGTCCTCTGTTAGGTGGGCCTTATCTTATAGCACAGGCAGATCCCAAATAGTCAGCTGCAACCAATTCTTATCAAACAGTAAAGAAATAACTCGAGGAGTGCCACATGGATTTGTTCTCGGCCCTATTTTCTTCCTTGCTTATATTAATGATCTCATTTTTATCAATATCAATGGAAAATTTCATGCATTTGCTAATTGTGTTGACAGGTGAAACGGAGGAGCTCGAGAATAAGATTGAGAACGATCTAAAGAGGGTTGAAGAATGGTGCGACCTCGGGTGCGACACAAAGCAGTTCTGTTTTAGCATTAAAAAAAAAATATATTATCTTCTTTAGATGCTCCATAAATTCTATACCTATGAATGACCAGCTGCTGTAAAGTTTCTTGGACTGGTGCTTGATGAACAATTAGATTTTAAAGAACATTATCGTCATTATCCAACTCTCGATCCAACTTAAACCTAAACTATCATCTGCCTGTTTTGCTCTCAAAATAGTTATTAAGGAACTCAATTTGCACTCAGCAAAAATGGTGTATTATGCTCTGTTTGAGTCTCGGGCAAGGTATGGTGTGGTCTTTTAGGGTTACTGTTCCAAAACTATCTTTGACCCAGTGTTCCAAATCCAAAAGCGGACTATTCGAATCTTGAACGGAGCAGCGCCATGGGAACATTGCAAACCATTATTCAAAAACCAGAAAATTGTAACTTTGACTGCTCTTTATCCTACATCCAAATGCTGCTAATTATGCCCCTGAACGATCCACTTAGGCAAACCAACTTGGACGCCCTCCTATACCTAGACGAACTTTGACAAAAGAATCAGTAATCTATAAGAGCGTCAAGTTATACAACCACCTACCACTCGAATTTAGGTCAATAAAAGAGTTTAAAAAAATTAGAAAAGCAATAATGTCCTGCTTTGAAAATTATCCCTTTTACAATTCTGATGAAGACTATGCTGAAGCACCCCTTAGCCTTAGACTGTATCTTTTGCTTTTTGGTTTTACTTACCCATTTTTACAATTATGACCTGCGATAATACTAAGGGTGTGATATCTTTCTGTTAATTGTTTTATAACATTTCGTTTGTATTTCTCTGGTCATTCAACTTACAATTTTATGTGCGATGTATGTTAAATTTTACCTTCCTTTTGCATAATTTTTTTCGTCATTATTTATTATTTTGCTCTTATTCCGTAATTTACACCACACTGCTGGACAATTGCTTTAGAGCAAAAGGAAAATTTCGCCCAACTGTCAAGTTCGATATTTTTGGAATTAAAATATCGACCTCCGGATTCCATATAGCAATTTTTTCACAAAAAGTCAATCTGTCAGCCTGTGAAAACTGGAGATCGATATAGTTAGGTCAAAAAATTTGCTCAAAAGCAATTGACGTTTTCAATTAAAAGAGATGGATGATAAGTATGAAAACATTCATTTTCCCGCCAAAATTTGCTTGCTTGTCAATGTCAATGTGTATTGGGTGTTTAGCAATCCGCTCATTTTTATGTGAATCGGTGACTTCACCAATGAGTTAGCTATCTTTGTTAAGTGAATGGAAAATGACAATGACCGACATAGAATGATGGATCCATCGGTAAAATTTGATAATAAAAACGCAGAGTTTGAAATTGGGACGAAAATGTAGGAAAAGTTACTGCTTCATTCGTAGAACTTCGCTATGGAGCCGGTGGTGGATTATTTTGGAAGCAAACAGTTTCTGCAAACTAAACTTGAACGAGGATTACTTTGTATACTTGATGGGCCGTGGATTTCCCTTTCTTTTGCGAGTATCCTTTCTGCATTCTGATTTTGTGTATCCAAGTTTTGAAAAATGTAGGATTTGATGGAAACTTATGGAAAAACACGTCCGCCGGTGAATAGAAATAAATAGGAATTAGTTTTATGGATAGGCACACTACACACAATTACCATTGTTAAGAAAAAACCTTGAAAAACACGAGGAAATAATAGTTCATTTCAAAAGTCTTGTCTACAAACCACTGTCAACGGCTGTCAACCATTGTTTTCATACTCTTTTGGCGTCTGACAGTTTGATGCCAGAGAGAGAGGCTTTTAAATTGAAAAGGTCAATTGTCCAGCAGTTCATTAAAATTTAAGTCTACCATATTATTCTGATAAAAAAAAACGGGACATTTTTATGAAGCAGATGTTCCATGTGTTTTTAAAAAAATAGTGCGCGAATTTTTTTTTTCGGGACCACGCCCGTAGGATGAACGCACGGATAATACACCTCACTACTACAGGATAGCCCTTAGTAGCTTATCCTCATAAGACCTGTGTAGAACAAATCTGACGCCCACCACTCCACCAAATCACCATTTGTGACGTAGGCAGCATGTCGTGTCACACCTTGACGTAGTCTGTTTGCACTACAGGTTATGATTCCGCGGGCTTTTGCTTTATATGCATACTTGATTTTACTACATTAATTAACATTCTAAAACAACTATTTTTTAGATCTCGTTTGCATCTTCCATCTTCCTATTATGTCAATCAAAATTAGATAATATTTTACTATGACTACGACTGCTGGCGCAAACAGCTGACGTCGCTAACGACTTAGTTGATGACATCGGCAATGGTGATACACCAATGTAGCGGCGATCACCAAAAACGAGGCCGATAAACTATCCTTAGCGGTGTGTATTATCCTTGGGCCGAACTCGCCAAATTCTAAACTGTCAAATGTCAAATGCTATGTCGAACAATGAACTGTCGAATGACCACCACGTTGCGATTTGAAGAGACTAGAGATGAGGCGCAAAAATCTATTTATTTATGCCACCGCAGAAACTGGGATGGGAATGAAACGCAAAAATCGAATTTTTCAAATATCAGAGAATACGGGACATTTACGCGTCCCGACAATAAATTTGGGGACGCGGGACATGGACCTTGAAATAAGGGACTGTCCCGTATAATACGGGACGTATGGCAGGCTTATTAAAATTAGGTCACAGTTTTAACTAGTTCTTGTTATTAGTATGAAACTTGTTTGTCTGGATTTTCCGGTGTTCAAGTTGCTTGGTTAATAATTTTTTTGGAAAATTTTGACAATAAAAGTTTTTTGAATTTGAATGGAATTTCTTGTGAGTTTTTAGAATTATTTTGAACACTAGCAAGCAAAGCAAAAAAGGCTTGTTTTTCAGTTTAGCCGCCACTATAAGGTAAAAACTATAAACATCGACTCTTCAAGCAAACTAAGGAATCCCACTGAAAACTGGAATCCCACTGGAATTCCATATGCTTGCACACTATAATTCCAAGGTGGTTTAAGTACCCCTAGTGAGTTGTTTTTATGAAGAAATAGGTAGCAAATTTAGATTTAACACTTTTAATTATTAATAAATAATAATAATAATATAAGCATGCTCTGCAGTCCCTAATAATAGTTCCAGGTTCCAGTACTGATCAATTTTAAAGCTAATACTGGTTGGTGCAGATGGCATGGTGGAGGCTAAACTCTAGCCTGCATTCAATTATCTATGTATTTTTTGAAAACCCTACTAAATTAGAAAATGTCGTTTACATTATCATATTCAATATTATTATCTGCTTTGCGAATGCTTTACCCGATGAACTAACGTCATGGCAATACCAAAAAGAAAAGAGTAGGTGTTTTATTTTATGCATCACTTCTAAGCATACCATCTGGTTTTTCGATATGGCCTCATTTTACTCCAGATTCGGATTACTTGTTGGTGCATATACACATTTCCTCTTAGTATATTATGCTGCCAGATAGATGTTTTGGCCCAATGAAATAATGGAAAGAAACTCCATCATCCTCATTCCTCTGAGAGTTTAGGGTGCATTGCCTGGTTTATCAGCAACAACAGCCATATCAAGCCTCTGCCTTAAGCTGGTTAGAATTCATGTTTTCTTTGACCTCAAAAGTGAACTCGGATGTGGAGTACTTAAACTTAACATAACATGCTTATTGGCTAATACAGTTAAAAATAGCTTTTCCGTCCCATCTTATGCAAAACTTTAAGAAGTTACTTTTTCATTTCTTTAGATCAGGGTAACACCAAAGGGTTAGATTGTTAACTCAAATAAATAGCATGCAAGTACACAAAAATCACATGCTTACCCAGGCATAGGTAAAGGCGTCGGCGACATAACAGAAGGTATTCTTCAAGCCAAAAAGGAGAAAAAGTTTTTTCAAAGGAAAAACTGAAAATAAACAAGTGTATTTTTAAAACAGGCTATTTACAGATGGCCATCATGTGCACAACTACAAACCAAGACCAAGTTCCTTGAAATGGCATTAATGTATAAAACGTACCAGTAATCAATCCAAATCAACTTTGCTGAAAATTCTGAAATTTTCACAACACACCCAAATGTTCAATCAAATTAAAATTAACCTTCAAAGATTGTTTCTTTTTCAAAGAATGATCTAATTCCGGTGCAGATGTACTATTGCTGTTTCTTTTTTTTTCACTTGCTGAAGACGAAGACGGAACGTGAATCTTTAGTTCTTTGCACTTGAGACTACTTCGTTTCTTACCATTTTCAGAGGAAGCACAGGGACGGACTTATGACAATTTATTTATGTTTCGGTGCTATGCCATTTCAGTTGGTAGAATAATTTAAATCCAAATACATCATGTTGGCAACACTGACTGAACGTTCTTGTGACGTAATTTGAACAGATCAATAATTTGAATTTTCAATTATGATTTCTATACCAACAATCAAATGAGTTTTTATTTAGTTTATTTAAATAATACAAAATTATAGAATGAAGTACTGTTGAATATATCAAAATGAAGATCACTACTAGTCGCTATGCTGTTATACTAGCGATTCAAACTTTTTTATTGATAACAGATTGGAATATTAATATCTTCGCTTTGATAGCACGACAAAGTAACGTTTTAATGTTGATTTTCTTTATGTAAGTACTTCTAGAATAAGCATTATATTACACACACTTTACCTATAAGCTCTCAATAGCTACTCAATCAATACAGGCAATTATTGTAAATTGTAACAGCAGGTTGAATATCATAATAATACAAAAATATTTGTTTCAGTGTCCAGGATGTCTGTTTGATATTTTCTCTTTCCCTGCTGCTACTAACATTCTTTTCAACTTATGTTTTCCAGGTAAATATTGATATTATTACTTATTAGATAATGGTTCCTACTCCTTAAACTTTATATTTTAAATTTTGAGTTCGTTTTATTCCAAAATCAAAGTCCAATTAACACAACAATAATTTATTCCACGTTACTATCACACTCTGACACTAATTACTTCATTAATGAACTCAATCAACTTAACTCTTTACAACTCTTACAAAATTCATTATCTAAATCGTATCACAGTCAATTTTAAACTTAAAAACTACTAACTAATACCGGCCATTATATATCCGCAATCTATTCGTGTAAAATCCAGAATAAATGCGATAACCCTATTTTCCGAGTGTAAAAATCTAAATTCAGCCGTCCAATTCTGTACATCCTGGCGGAAGCGCCATCTGCTGTGATAGTCCTCTCCTCCCTCCTCTTAAGGTTGATCGTCCCGATCAACTTCGCGCCCATGATATTTCGTCAATCTGTCCAAATGTACAACTTTTATCTTACTCCTGATGTTGCGCGGGACTCGATAAATCAAATAATTAATGCTCTTGATTATTCTGTAGGGTCCTTTGTTAAGTTCTTATTCAATCGAATTGTTATTTCAATCTCATCAGAACTTAAAGTGTGTGTGTGCGAGAGAGATACTTACCAGGAACTTCAACTTTCAACCTTGGTGGCCGTGTCTGTTGGTGCCACCCTGGGACGACGTCGAGCGGCAGCAGGCCGAGGGTTGGTGAATCGGCTTCGTCATTGAAGAGCGAGGCGAGAGTTTGTTGAGTGCATATTGATTGGGCTCTCCGTTCTTTTTTCACTTCTAGTTTTTATCGGGTTCGCGTGCTTTTGCGGCCCCCAGCATTCAGAAACTATCATTTATTTATTATTAAAGAGTTCAATAACAAGAAGTCTTTTATTCACGTCTTTCAAATACAGTCCACTACATTATCACATATTCATTAAAGGGCTCGTCACGCTGTCTCATCAAAGTAAATTCAATAAACAGAATTTGAGATCAAGCCTCTGAAAACCAGTCAACAGTCTTTCCCATGCTGAAGACAATTTAGGCATTCCAACGACCTGTCAAAACTATTCCAAAATGGCGTTCGGGGCGGAAGTTCCTTATTTCCTATATGACAGTACACAATTTAAAGCTTTTTAAAGTGCATTGTGTGGTTGTTTTGTGACTAAACCCTATTTATTTTTTCATTTTATTGACTTCATTAGGCTTTTTTCTAATTAAAACTGCCACAAAATTGTCTTGTAGTTGATTTTCGAAGGCGTTTCAACAAGGATGATATCAGGTTGTTTTCAGTGCCCAACCTTTCAAATTTTTCCAATTAAAACGTAAAAATTATTCAGTACCACTGTTCCTGCATCTTAAATAAAGCCATACTCGAAATACTTGAACGAATCTAAGCTTTTATAAGCCTTCATTTGCTCATTGCTGTAAAAACTAGGTCAAAATATAAACAAATGTCAACTAGACATTTTTTCAAACTTATCGTTCGCCCACATCCCGATTTTCCTGCACTAAAGTCTTCGAATATTCACTCTGCATCTCAAAAAGTATATTATAAAAAAATAAACTGTAAGTAATTAGCTGGAAAATATTCCAAATAAACTCAAGATAAACAAACAAACGTCAAATTTTCCACGCTCGCCATATCGAAAAATCACCTGGTTTGGAGAGCCTAATTAGGCATTCCAACGACCTGTCAAAAAGTGCGTCGTGGCGGAAGTTCATTATCCCGTATATGAGATGAGTATGTAATTTAAAGCTTTTTAAAGTACATTTTGTGGTTGTTTTGTGAATGAATTCTGTTTATTTTTTTGTTTTATTGACTTCATTAGTGTTTCTTCCAATTAAAAATGCCACAAACGGGTCTTGAATTTGATTGTGGAAGTAGTTTCAACAAGGTAACAAAGATGATGTCAGGCTTTTTTCATTGCCCTTTGTTTTAAAATTTTCCAATTAAAACGTGAAAATTTTCCACTACCACTGTTCCTGCATCTGAAATAAAGCCATTTTCGAAATATTCGTAAGAATCTAAGCCTCATTTGCTCATTAATGTGAATGTGAACTGTGGATCAAAATGTCATCTGGACATTTTTTTAAACTAACCGTTCGCCCAGATCACGATTTTCCTGCATTCAAGTTTTTAAATATTCACTCTGCATCTCAAAAAGTATATTATAACAAAGTAGACTGTAATTAGCTTGAAAATATTCCAAATAAACTCAAGATAAACAAACAAACGTCCAATTTTCCACGGTCGTCATATTGAAAAATCACGTGGTTTGGAGAGCCTAATTTCGGCGACACTCCTTTCACTAAATCACCTACTTGAAATTCGGCTGAATTGGCTTTCAAGTCGTATCTGGTCTTGATTCGGTCACCGGTCACTGGCCAGCTGAATATGCTCCCGAGCAAAATCATGTATCCCCAGAAGTCGTGCCCTTACTTCGTCGGCATAATCTCGAATTTCATTCCGTTCTTCTCCAGGTATTCCAAACATCAGATCGCAAGATAATCTGAGTTTCCTTCCAAAAACGATTCTAGCCGGACTTTCACCTGTTGACTCATGAACAGCTGCTCTGCTGTAAGCCATTAAAAATAGAGGCAAATGTTTGTCCCAATCTCGCTGGTTCTTTGCGACCACTTTTGTCAGGTGTTCCTCTATGGTCTTATTGAATCGTTCTAACATCAGACTGTGGATGTAAAGGTGTTGTCCTTGTCTTACGAATTCCCATGATCTCACAAATTTTCTCAAAGATGGCAGATTCGAAGTTTCGTCCCTGATCTGGATGTAACTCTACTAGTGGCACACCATGATGACTTAAAGCTTGCTCCACTAGCACCTAAGCAATAGTGATGGCTTCTTGATTGGGAATATCGAGAACGTCTGGCCATTTACTGAAGTAATCCATGATAACCAAAACCAAGATGTATTTGTTACCATGGTCTGCCTCAGGAAACGGTCCGGCTACATCTATCGCTATTCTTTCAAATGAGAGACCGACGTTGTACTGTTTCATGAGCCCCCGATATCTTAGTTTAGGGGCCTTTACTGGTAGCACAAATGTCGCATTTTCGGCACCAGTTTTTAACGTCTACGTCTACATGATAGTGGACCTAGTAAAGACGTTCTCGAATTTTGTCCAAAGTCTTGTTAACTCCAAAATCTGCCCTTGAGGCTCCGTCATGTTCCTCCCAGGTTATTGACATGTTTTTGAAACGAATTTCCCATAATCATGACATGTTCTAAATATACCAGGCAAGCTCTCCATGTAAGGCCTCGCAAAACAAGATGCATCAGTCGCTCAAACGTAGCTGGAGCATTACACAATCCGAAAGGCAATACATTAAACTGGTATAACCTGCTTCCGGTACTGAAGGCAGTTTTCTTCTTGTCATTTTTATGTATTGCCACTTGCCAGTATCCACTTTTGAGATCCAAGGTGGAAAACCATTTGGAGCCCGATAGACTTGTTAATGTATCGTCTATCCTCGGGAGAGGGACGCTGACCTTCTTGGCGACGTCATTAGGCTTACGGTAGTCCACACAAAATCTAAGACTTCCAATCAATCAATCAATCAATTCTTTATTGTTTAAAAAAAAAATATACATTCTTATAACAGTAGGTTCTACACAGTAATGGTCTTAATCTAATACATGCCACATTTCTTATACTTATTAGCTACACTTTCAAATATGTAAACCCAAATTGAAAATTCAAAAAGGACAAAAGATAATACTTTATATTAATTTTGGAACAAGGAGAAAAAGAAGATAAAATTAAAATCTAAAGAATAGGTCTATTCATTTATATTCACGGTTTAGAAAATAACCCTCACCAGTTGAGGGTTTAGATTGTCCAAATTATGAGCAAAATGCGGTATATCACCCCAATCTGCCGACCTATAAAGGATATAAAAGGACATTCGAAGAGAACGCGAAGAAATGTTTCAGGCACCCTTTGGTTACAAACCGAACAGAGCTCTTCTTGATTAATCCTATAAGCTAAGCCATTCCAGAATATGTTGCAGTTATAACTCGAACAATGTCGGATTTGTGTAATAACCCTGATCATGTAAAAAGCACAGTCAGAATAAAGGTATTTCAACGAATACTTATCTAAATCAAATTGACTATAAAACAAAGTACCTATACGTAGAATTTCGTGTCATTCGATTCCTACGTTTTAAAGATATGTTATTGAAAGACCACAAGTGGGCTATTCCGATTTCTTGAAACCATTTGTAAAATTGTGAAAGTTGTAAGCCCAATTAAACTTAGAGGAGGCATTATCACCAAATAAATTGAGCTGGCGATTTAGACAGATTTTGGGCAATCTGTGATTCTCCGTGTCTAATAGTTTAGTGTTGATTTGAAAACGAAATACGAGAGAGGCAGACTGTCTGTTTCAACTCTAATTAAGGCATGGGAGGTATTCTTTGGGAGCCTTAAAAGGGACTTAAAGAACGAGGACTGAACCTTCTCCAAGACATCAGCATATCGAGGCCCTCAGACTGGTAAACAATTACTAAACGAGTTCAGAACAGAACCAGAAAACAGCTTCTTACTAACAAAAAATGAATTGTATTTTACACACCTTTACCACTTCTAGAGGATCCCCATTAAATAAGAATTTAAACCCACCTGTATAGGGCACTCTTGGTCTGTTGAAACGGTTGAAACACATTATTTTTGATTTCTTTGAATTTATGATGAGATTTTTTCACTGGCGTATTGCTGAAGTATATTTAGTTTATTCTGTAAATCAATTTCCGAGTCGCTGAGTAGTAATATAGGTCGTCACAATAAAGTAGAAGAGTTATATCATTAGCAGCGTCCATGCTCAACCCCCCAATCCCGCGATCCAGAAAAAACTGGACAATATCGTACAGAAAAATATTGAACAGGGTAGGGCTAAGAGTTTCGCCCTGCAAGACCCGAGAAGAAATGGGAAAGGGCCTTGTTAATCCCTCGGTTGCCATTATTTGAACCGTGGCTTTATCGTAGAGGTCTTTTATGGTCATTATGAGGTTTGAACTGATTCCTACTCAGTACATTTTGTGCCACAGTAGGTTATGTGAAATCGAGTTAAAAGCTCTGCGGAAATCAATAAAGGCAGCAAAGACTCTTCTCTAAGGGCCGGTTTCTCAATAGCGAGTCACCCTCCGGGTTGGTTTTATCTCCAGGGTAAGCGTGTCCAGTTGCTATGTTTACCCTCGGGGGTTACCCTTAACCCGGGGGTGACTCGCTATTGAGAAACCGGCCCTAAGACTTCTATCTTTCTTCGTAACCAATACTACTGGCGCAGACCACGGAGTGTTTGACTCTTTAATAATTCCCTCTTGAAGCATTTTATCAATTTGGTTTTCCAGTTCCTGTTGTTTAGCTACTGGCATACGTCCAGGAGGTTGTCTATCTAATTGGGCGTGTCAATCCAGTATCAATTTTGTGTTGAATTAAACTGGTCCGTCCGGTTTGATTATTTATCACAAATACGTCTGCTTCTTTAAGATGAAATCTATGGGTTTCTGAAGTATGTCTGGATCGAGGTGTTTCCATGATTTCTCTGTCTGTATCCAATTTCGATTTTCCAAAATGTCGCTTATCTGGTGGGTCACAGTTCGATATTTGTTTAACTGGTTCGAGAGTTCCAATGTCTCCTTTTAGTTTTACTGTTCGGAAGAAACATTGGAAATTCCTATCATAATGTCTCCATTTGTTCTTACTAGAATCTATCCAACGAGAAATCTTTCTGGTTTATTTCCAATAAAATTATGTGGTAGTCCCAACGCAGCACCCAGGGTTTGTTTGAAACTTTCCGCAAATGATCTTCTCAGTACTGCCAGGAATCCTCACTAAGTTTGTGGTCAGGATCTTAACGGCTTGGGATTCTTCTTGTGTAGGTAGGACAAATTCTTCATTGCCAAATTTAAGGATGTTCATAGAAGGATCGAAAAAGAAAGCATGTTGGCTGATCAAATCCATTCCTAAAATAAAATCATATTCTATATCGGCGACTAATGTTCTGTGTCTAAAGGTGGTAGATCTAAAAGTAAGATCAACCATAGCTTCTCCTTGAACTGGTGCTGATCCGCCCGTGACTGTTTATAGTGACAGGTTTCTAGTGAGCGGTTGGATTGCCCGAGACTTGACTAATATTCTCCTAATTATGGAAACTTTGGCACCTGTATCAAAAGTGATGCATTTAAATTCTCCATTAATTTGTAATGTAATATTACCTATGCTGATAATCTGATGACAATACAGAAATAATAAAATTTTGCTGGTATTGATGAAGGCAAGTGCCGGAGAATAACATTTACTTACGAGCGTGCGGTAAAGTGTACTTTACTACATCTATTTGCAAGTGGAAAGTAGCACTTCACCGCATAGTGTGCGGTAAAGTACACTTTGGTATTTATAATCAAAAATCACTCGTCTTTCATAAATTTCCATTATGCCTTTTTTTAGTGAGAGAATATCAAATCCATCTTTTTTTTAAAGTTAACGATGATGGTCCAAAGGCAAAAAGTCAAATTTAAAATTAAGAGTCCTCAAGTCGGGGAAAAAGTAGTTAGGATAAAGGGATAATTATCGCATTTCCTCAAATAAACCCAGGAAATTACCTCTGCTTTCACCAAATTTCTATTTTTTTTTGTTCAAATACGATAAAGCGGCATTTTCATTAACACAACTGTTTCCTAATACATATTGAAGCTTTTATCCTGTTCATTATTATGTGGGGCACCCTGTAATATGTCCTAGACTAGAAATGAAAGGCTAGTGTTATAGGTATAGTATTTTTAGTACTCATTTGGTATAACCCCATCCTTGTTTATTAATCATGAATCAGAAGAAACAAAAAATTACCAACCAATCAACCAAATAGGTATTCATACAAAAGATCAATTTCTGAATGGGATAGAGAAAAATGAACCCTCCTTTCTGAAGCTGGTGCAAACCGCATTTTGACATCTTCAAGCGTTCTGCTGCTATAGGGTATTTCCTGATTTCTAGCAATAATTGCAATACTGCTATCGCTCAATGTTGAGAAACGACCTCTAGGGGCAAAACTGTTGAGAATATCAAAATGCGGTTTGCACCAGATGAAATTTTGTGGCTCAGAATGGGGGTTAATTGTTTTTTTAAATCACTGAGAAATTGACGTTTCCTATTTAAAGTGTCCAAATTGGCACACCTGTACACATAACACATAAATAGTGAGGTGACACTAGGTGTGCCTCTTGTGTCCCCCTTCCCTTGTATCCCATCCCATTTAAATGCCTACCACAGGCATAATCAAATCGAATATAGTTTAAATTTGTTCCTAAATGCCTACTGACTCAAATTTGCCATCTGCCTCTGAAACTAATCGCACAGATGTGAAATTTTGGTGATTTGTAAACATTTTCCCATAGAACTTGGCAAAGGCGTAGGCTAATCACACACCTCAATTTGTCCTATGGCTAGACAATGTATTAGTTAATTGTGTGTAGGTATCGTATCAGTGGAAATGCTCTATACAGCAAGCAAAATTATTACCATCCGATACTTTATTTATTGTAAGAGTATAACAGCTGTATGCAACATCCTCTTTTAGCTTAAAAGTGCTTTTTAAAACTGGTCACTTTTAAAAATGTTGCATACAGCTGTAACAATGTTTATGCAACAAGATCCTAGTCAGATTTTTCAAATAATTTCTCATATCTAATTTCCGTTTCAGACTGGATTGGTGTATCTTCTCTACGAGAGATTTAGAACCACCCTAGTAATTTGCATGCTCTACTTTATTCTAACTACAGTTGTTCATATTTGGTCTCTAGCTACAAGATGGAATAACTCAAAGTACAGCTGGACCACAGGATTTTTCATTTTGTTTATTGTACAGAGAATAAGTGAGTATTTTTTAATATTATTTGCACTTTCACTGTTATGGGTATCACTTATATCTCTAGTGATACACTATGTATAGAAAAAAAAATCATTTCCAATTATCTGTATATGTATTTTGCATAAGTAACACAATTTTAAAAATTTGATTTAGGTGCAAAATCAAAATATTTTATTAACTGTGAAAGTGTTTAAAATGTTTCTATTCTCTAGCTGCTGCCATCTACTATTATTGGTACAAAAGGGCTTCCCTAAGAATAAGCGACCCCAGATTCTATGATGACATAGACATACCTGCTGAAAAACACCATCAGAGTCAACATCAAATTGAATAAAAAAACTGATATTATTACTTAAATAAATATGTAATTCTTTCTTACACAATTACCAATTTTTAACCTAAAAAAGAGAAACTATACACATACAAATTATTACAAATCCTTCTGTACTGGTACACACAAAAAAATACACAATATTATCTATATTTAAAGTAATAAATATGTAAAAGAATTATTATTAAATTTGTTTTACTTAACGTTTTAGAATTTATGACAAGAGGTACAAATCGGAATTCCAATCCAAAAAATATTTTATTACTATTAATTTAATCAGAAGCGTCATCTAGCAACGCAAACTTGTTGCTTCCCTGGAAGTTTGGAGGCTCGGCTTCTTGAAATTTGGGCAACTCTTTTTCTGATCGATCACTAAAAATTATAGTTTCTTTCAAGTAAAATTCGCAAACAAAAATTACAAAATCTTACTGTTTTTCTTCACGTTTTGGTTTATCTACTTTTTCTGGTTTCTTTTTATTATCTGGCGATTGATTGTCAATTCTAGAACTGCGACGATTATCATCACCAGAAGCTAAAAAGAAAATATTATCAAAGGAAAAATAAGATTTTTTATGCACTTACCATTTCTCCTCTCTCTTGAAGACGGCCCCCGGTCTCTATTATCTGGTTCCTGATCTTTATCCTCGCTATCTTTATCTTCTCTCCTTACAGGAGGTCGTCCTCTTTCAATCTTGAATTAAAAATAGAAATTATTGAAATTTTTGAAAGCACAAATCAAGTTGGGTGAAATCAATTGAATATGTATCAGTAAGTCTTATCACCAAAGAATTTTCTGTAGAGGTGTCAGAAAATATAAGTGTTATCATCATAAAAAAAAAAAATAAACCAATTTTTGCCAAAATAAAAAACACAATCAAAATAATAGCTTACATTTCTCCTACTATTATCCTCATCCTTGGTATCCTTATCCCTAGATCCAGCTAGTCTTTCTTCCTGCTCTTTCAGCAGTTTTTCCTCAACCTGTCGTTCGCGTTCTGTAGTATCTACTGGTTTAGCGTTGCCAAATATTGAAGCAGCAGGCGCTGCAGGTTCAGCTTTAGCATCCGTTTGCTCTATGGGTTTAGTGCGAGGGGCTAGGTTCAATTTTGGACGTTGACGAGTCTCTGAGCCAGAGCTAGGAGCTGCAGGCTCCTTATCATCTCTATCGCCAGTTCTCGCTGAACTCCCATTCCTTTCACTATCTTCGTATCTTCTGAAACCACCACCACCGCCACCTCTTCTATCTTCCCTATCTTCGTATCTATTATTTCTATCAGAGTCTCTATAATTTCCTCTGGAAAATCCCTTATCTCTATCATTAAAACTAGTAGGTCTATCACCATCTCGCCAAGCACCAGGCCTGTCATCTTGATCACGGTTCCTATTAAATCCACCACCATCTCTGTCTCTGTTAAAATCCCTATTAAAACCACCCCCCTCTCGGTCCCTGTTAAATCCACCCCCCTCTCTGTCCCTGTTAAATCCACCTCCTCCTTCTCTATCTCTATTGAAACCACCATATTCACGATCCCTCGCTCCCGGTTCTCGCATTCCTTCCCTGGTAAATGCACCTCCACCTCCTTCTCTGTCTCTATTGAAACCTCCCTCTCTGTCTCTATTGAAGCCACCTTCTCTGTCCCTATTAAAACCGCCACGGCGCTCTTCCATTGGTTCGGGTCTGTTAGACGAACGCCAATCGCCACCAGTATCAGCACCACTACCCATTCTATCACCCATACGACCTCCTCGCCGCCTGTCATTTTCGGAATTTGCCGCCACTTCAATACGAATTCTGCGATTTTTCAAGTTGGTATCGGGAATGATGAGAGCGCCCATTAAACTTTCGCGATCTTCGAATTCCACATAACCATAACCTTTGAGTTTTGCTGGCTCACCTGGTCGCTCATCTTTTGGTATTCTCATAGTGGATATCTGAAAAAAGTAAATATTGTAATATTTATCAAGCATTCTACTGGTTATTCACTAAATTATTGTGTTCAATAGGGAACAATCATATTTTTCAAAGTATTTTTTTTCTTATTGCTTATGTTTTCAAATATAAAATGTATATGTGTTTTTTTGTTTTATTTCCTCATTGAAATAAAAAAATTATTTTGAATTTCAAATTATTTTCGTTGGCGCGAAAACGATTAGCTTCAAGATGGTGGAATTTGTGATGTCAACTGTCTGTAAACACAACGTTAAGGTCTGTTCTCACAAGAGCCTTTGACACTTTGCAAACTGTCGGAAAGAATCGCTTAGCGAACCTTCGACTGCATTGGAACTTGAAAGCGGTTATTTATGAGGTATTTCCGTATTTATTGCCATATTGTGACATTTTGTGTTTCAAATAGTTCATCATGGTTGATACAGGATTTACAAAAGCGCAGTCTGACAATCTTCCCTCTATAGACCCGTTTATGGTGGTTCAATATCAGTCGTGGCGTGACGTAAGCTGATTGTGGACCAATCGTTCCACGATTCAAGAGTGAACCACGAAAGTGTGGACCGTGGATTTACGATCAGTGTAAACTACCCTTAACCTTAAGTTTACGAACAGTTGACGTCACTGGAAGCGGCCATGTTAAGAGTAACTTCTCCGCGCGAAACTTATCTATTTAAAACTAATAATTGTCATATGACTATAATATCCATGAATTTAATACAAAACTGCTCCACACCATAAAAACAAAATAAGCCATATTTATTTCTTATGAGAATTCCCTATTACAAAGTAATGTTTAAAAAAATACTCAATGTGCCTTATTGACCAAAATAAATTTTGTCTCGTCTATTGTTATTCTAAGTAGGTTTAACACTGTCATGATTATGATTAAAGTATCTTTGAATGACGTGATTATTAATAATTACAGACGTTTCATTTTCCTGGTTATTAATAATTATAGAATATACAAATGTATTTGAATTAAACATGGTGGTACTGGTAACTTTCTAGCATCACATGAAGAATTATTCAAGCGAGCAAATGCTGCAATACATATACAGGGTGTCCCACGGTGGATGGCGTATTAGACGTTTATGGAGAACTAAAAAGCAAATCATTTTGAAAATTTGGCAACCGGGATAAACGACCATGATCTACACTTTAAAAATATTTTTGACCATGCGGTGTTGCCGCTTCTACTCTAAACTAGTGGCAACATCACTATTTTAAATGGAACATCCCGTATTTAATTGCATATTTGGATTCTACGTAAAATTCTGAGCAGATTTCATGTGATATACCTAAGTTCAACTGTTTTGGAAATATTGACAGTTGCAAATTGACTTTTTGCAACTTTGACAGGCTGTAAAACCTAATTGGTTAATTTTAGAGGAAAACCGATTTCACATTCCTATCTTAGATTTTGATAAACTATCATTTAACACCAACTTTGGACTTAACCAGAGATTAAATTTAACTGAAATTTTTAATCATGGATTTAATTCTAATTTGGTGTCAAACGATAGTTTATAAAAATCCAAGATAGGAATGTAAAATCGGTTTTCCTCTAAAATTAACCGTTCAGGTTCTACAGCCTGTCAAAGTTGCAAAAAATCAATTTTCAACTGTCAATATTTCCAAAACAGTTGAACTTAGGTATAGGGTATATCACATGAAATCTGCTTAGAATTTTACGTAGAATCCAAATATGCAATTTAATACGGGGTGTTCCATTTAAAATAGTGATGTTGCCACTAGTTTAGAGTAGAAGCGGCAACACCGCATGGTTGAAAATATTTTTAAAGTGTAGATCATGGTCGTTTATCCCGGTTGCCAAATTTTCAAAATGATCCGCTTTTTAGTTCTCCATAAACGTCTAATACGCCATCCACCGTGGGACACCCTGTATATAAATTTACGTGTTTTGGTGTGAAGATTCTTACCCTCAAATTCCTGAAGAAATCAGCAATCTCATCCTCTTCTACGTCATAGGGCAAGTTCGATAGGTAAGCAATAAATGGCGGCTCCATTGGAACTTTATCAGCAATATCTTCATAATCTCTAGAGGCTTTTGGAGCGGTTGGCAGTACAACATTGATCGCTTTTGTGACGATGGCATCTTGAAACCACAAAAAAATAAAATTAGTAATTTTCACACACATTTTTTGGATTAATGACACTACCTTAAGACAAAATATCAGTTTTGGCTGTATTGCTTATTCTTTATCCAAGTGATAAGGCCCGCAACAGATTAGTCTGAATTGAGTTTTGACGATTCAATCGTCAACTCGCAGATTGAACTCAAATTGCTAGCTACGGGGGTTTCCAACCTATCCAGACGCAACACCTATGCCATTGAAATTCAGGACAATCCTAGGCTTACGCGCCCGGACTGGCATTTTTCTGGTTCCCCCGTCTTGCGATTATGCAAGTCCCCTGCTAGAGGATAAGATGCCTGTCTCAGACCTTCCCGTTGCATGTAATGTGTAATGAATACACTGTATGTGTGCCCCAGGTGCGAGATTGTCGCGGACCTTTATACTATGGAAAAAGGTTCAACTCTACAGCCAATTGGTTCATCATGTGGATTGTGAATTAAATATGCACTTTTCACAGAAAATAGTTCTATTATCATGACGAAGTGTTTAGTAGCCTTTGTTTTATTTTTTTCACTTTTTGGGTGTGGTTTTGAGGTCAGATTATTGTAGTTTTCATTTCAGGTATAGAGCATTTATGCAATATGCTAATCCAAGTAAGAAATTTAATTCATTTCCATTACCTATTGTAAAATTTTATTCTGCTAAATCAAAAAAATGTCAATGTTTTACATTTGGCCTTGTAACTAATCTACATTTTAGTATTTAATTATCTAACATGTAATTATTTTAAAAATTGTACCCAAGTGATTTAACACTTTTGTCTGTGCTAGCTCTACAAAAGATTTTTGCAATCAGTTATTTAATGGATTCCTACCAGAATGCTGGAATAAAATAGATATCAACAACCATTTTTTCGGATTTTTTGGGCCAAGTATGTTGTGTTCTGTCCATTTCAAATATTGATCAATGACAAGACCTAGATACTTCAAAATCAGTTCTATTTAAAAAAGTCAATGACAAAGCCATGTAGTTAGTATTGGCACAATTTATGAAGATTTTGAAGGAGTCCAGTCATTTTTTACCATTCTAAATCTATTTTGGCTTCCTGCAATGTTTTGCCAGCGAATATCAGGGCTGTATCCTCCGCGTATGACATTATTTTACCATTTATCTCAAGTTCTAATAATTGAATTTATGTACGATACCTATAAACAATAGTTATTTACATTCCAAGCTGCGAAAGCGTACTTTCAAGTGCGAGCTGTATTCAAATAGCCAAGGCGAAGCGAAGCGCAGCCGAGCCCAAAATATCTTTAGATCATCCGCAAACATTAGAAAATTGGAGGAAAGTAGATTGCTCAAGTCATTGATGAATAAACTGAACAAGAAATGTCCCAAATGAGATCCCTGAGGAACCCCAGATGTGACATCGAACTTATGCGAGAGATAACCATCAATTCTCACCTGCTCCAACCAAGAAATCGGAGTACCCGCAATGCCATAATCGGATAACTTTGAGAGTAGAAGAGTATGATTGACCTTATAAAAAGCCTTACTAAAATCTCGAATGATCTATTGATAAAGTTAGTGAATAGAAACAAGTTGGTATCAACGGAGCGGCCGGAGGTGAATCCATGTTGCTCATTTACTATGATTTGATGGAAGGCAACCCACAAAACTTTTTCAATACAGTGCTCAAATAGCTTGGGTATTGCTGAGAGGATACTAATTGGTCTGTAATTAGACACATTGTTTTTGCTTCCTGATTTGTGGATGGGACAAAAATATGACAATTTCCAGACTTTTGAGAACACTCCAGAGATAAGAGACTTGGGAAATATGTAATAGAGGGGAAGATACAGAGAATGGGAGCAAAGTTTTAACACTGTTTTCGGGATTCCGTCAGGTCCCTCTCTCTTATTTATGTCGAGTTCAGAGAGCGATTTTTCAATGTCATATGCAGTGATCTAAATGTCAGAAATTAATTGAAAGGTGTGTGTGGAAGAATCGGAAGAAACACTTGCATCAGAAATGGTTATGGGATTAGAAACTGATGAGAAGAAATCAGCAAAGAGGTTGGCTTGGATTTAACTGCGAATGAACATAGTTCCAAAAGTAACCAGCATTCTCCTTGATAGAATCTTCAGTGTTATTTATGTAAAGTCTGTAGCACTCCTTGGACAGGGATAAACATTGTGTAGCAGAGAAAATAAGTTATAATCCACAACTGAATTTGATTGTTTGAACCGTTTGTGAGCTACTTTTTTTTTGAAAATTAGGGATTTCAATTCACTTGAAAACCAGATAGGAAATCTGCCGTTTGAGCCACATTGCTTAACAGGCACAAACAAATCAAAACAATTGAAGGCAACGGAATAAAAGTTACTCATGGTAATCTCTAAATTATCGTTTAAAATCAACAACCAATTATAGGAGAAAAAATAATTGTTCATTAGCTCAAAATCAGCGGACTTTGAGGACTCGAGACGCCAACGGAACAAGTCTTATTTCGGAAGCCATCAAGCCAGTACAGTTTTCAGACACTATTCTCTGACATAAATCCCAGAGGAAACCGAAAAGAGCACTCTTATCCTCCTTCTGAAGGCGTGTCTCATCTCAATTATAGCATTTTGCCATTTTGAATACACAAATTACAGTCGACCACGAAAACCTACAGAAGCGTATTTATTGGAGCTTATTCGATTATCACCATTAAAAAAAAAAAAGTCAAAAGGACCAAGCAGTCAATTGTACTTAATAGAGTACAATACCGGGCGCAAAAACAGCCAAGTGGAATGTCCAAGTTTTTTGCTTATCACTCGTTATCAGCCTAATCTGGTTTATTGGGACAAAAAGTCGATAACTTAAACAATAATGCCGAAAACTTTGATACAAATAACGTCGCAGCACCGACTGACTTTGGTAGCCCTAGGGCCAGAGATCCAAAACAGGAGGGTCCCGCAAATATCGAAATATAGACGTTAAGACGACAAATCTGATGACACAAAACACAAATTCACCGCGCGACTAAGACGCCCGAAAAAACAGTTTTAAACGGAACGGAAATAAATCAATGTTAACACGATGAACGATTATGTTATGTTCAAACACTCACTGATGACATTTAGTTCCAAAAACTTGTCTGTATCCAAAAGATGGCTTGCAAAAACTTCCAGCACAACTTCCCAGACTCTATATTGTGACAATATGTTAAGTTTTTCGGTGGGGTACCGTGTAGAAAGCCTTTACTAGCCTTCATGACGGCTACACTCCTTTCTCTACTATCTAGGTTTTTAGTTTTAAGTGATTTTTGATGCCAAGGAATACATCGCTTCTTGTGTGTTTAACCCTTCTGCAAAGCCGGACTCTGGTAAATAATTGTTCAATTTGGAAAAGTTTATGAATCTATCCTTTAGACATTTTTTGAAAATGTTTGCTAAAATAATAATTAGACTGATAGGTCGGTAATTTTGAATTCTATCTGTATCAGCTTTGAAAATTGGAATGATAATAGGGTCTTCAAAATATATAGGTAATTTGCCAAATGAGGTTAATAAATAACATGAGTAAGTGGTTCTCAAATTTGAGTACATACATGTATGTATATTTGATGATCTTTGCTGTTAGGTAATTGTCTTTACTCAGAGCACTATCATTCATAAAATAATGACAATAATCCAATTAACATTCAATTCTATTTATAGCAGGCAATTAGGTAGATTATTTTGGATTTTTTAGGTTTAAATCAGTTAGTTCAAGATTACACAAGAGTAATATTAAAATACTGCAACTTCAATTGATTACCTGATAACGAATGAAAGTTCACTATAGCATTTATGTGCTGATAGGCCGAAAGTGTCAGATCATTCAAATACTTTAGTAACGTTGGGCATAAATAGACCCAAAAATAATGACAAAGAAATGGTATAAAAAAAAACTTTTTAAATATTCACAAGGATGACTTCAGTTCAAACGATATTTGCTTATTTTGAGTTGGTCATTGGTAGTCAAGGTCAAGATATAAAACTTTTAGCAGTACTCTAACAAGAAATCATGACAATGATGTTTCATGTTCCTCTAGTGTCCCAAGATCTTTACTCTTCTGTGAGAAGTCCACCTCGACAAATGATATAGACATGGCAATCAAAAGGCTCAAAGGAAACAAGGCAATTGGTTCAGATGGAATACCAGCCTATATTCTAAAGGGCTCTAGCTAACATCTTTTGAAACCGCTGCAAGTTGTATTTAATCTAATAATAAAAACATCAAATTATCCAAAAAAATGGAAAATAGGTGAAGTCATTCCAATTTATAAATCTGGTATTAGACAGGATATTAAAAACTACCGCCCCATATTCATTCTGAGTTCAGCTTCCAAAATATTTGAATTGTTGTTATTTAGTGAAATTTCTGGAAAAATTAGTTCGTCAGCATGGTCTGGAAAATGCTATGACCCTCATGTTCGCCGATGATTTCAAATGTTTTTTCCAGATTAATTCTGTTGAAAACTGTTTGCAACTGGAGAATGATTTTTGTAGTGTGACTAATTGGTGCGAAAATAATGGCTTTAAAATGAATATTGCAAAATGTATCTGTATGTCCTTTACCCTAAACCGCAATCTTATAAATTATGACTATAAATTAAATGGTGCTAGTCTCAAACGAATTGGCGAACAGAGAGGTCTTGGAGTGGTGTTTGATCCTAACTTGTCGTTCTCTGGTCATATGGCAACTTTAAAATAGAAGTGAGTCTACATCTTTTTGATAGTTTGGTGGTTCTCATTTTGGAATATGCAAGCATAATTTGGTCTCCGCAAAACAATGTGTGGGTTACATTAATAGAAAGGGTACAACGAAATTTCCTCAAATACATGTATTTTGGAAAATTTGGTATTTATCCGCAAAGAGCTTGTGATCAGGGCTACCTTGTGAACATATTTGATAGGCTTTCCTTTAGCAAAAGCAGGGATAAGGTCATTTTGTGCACAATGTTCAATATTTTGAAGGGAATTATTGATTTACCAGGAATGCTTGCCCAATTACCATTTGCAATAAATCAATTCAACAAATATTGTAGATGTGCTCAACGTCCACTTCTATTTAAAGAAATTAATAATTTCAAGCTGAGTTTGGTTCAGCTATGATCTTATGATGAGTTTATAACATAGAGATCAGCTATTTAGGTTAGCAAAAGAAATGGGAACTGAGGATTATTTGGGAGTACAAGATTGTGAAAAATCAAGTAACAACTAAATTGAGATATGAAACCCGAAGTGTACTATGAAGAAAAAATTGATGATAATAAATATGACAGTAAAAATATGTGGAAAGCAATGAAGTAGGTAGTTTCAGGTGAAAAAGTTGAAAAAATATCTAAAATAAAATTTGAAACTGTAATTTTGGAAAATGTTCAAAAAATAGCAGATAATTTTAACACTTATTTTATAAACAGCATTAAAGACTTATAGTGAAATCTACAAAAAATGTAATTTTGTGTTGGAAAGAATGTCACAAGTTGGCTGTTCCTTTGACAGCTTTCATTCAGTTGATTGGGAAGCGCACAGAACACATATCCTCAGGGATAGAAAAAAAAGCTTAATGGAGGGCGGGACCTAAAAAAAAGCTTTGGATCGCATCCGCTTGGGGACGCTGGAGTGAAACAGAACTACAGGTGCGGAATGAACACCACCAGAAAATATGTCACAGTTTACTTCGGCAGTTTACCTGTTACCTATGTTTAAAAAAAATATGTCAAAATAGTTCTGAATGAGAATTCGTCTTGGTGTTAGTGTGCATTTTAAATCCAGATAAATGTTTCCTAAATTCAAAAAAAAATCAGATTTTACTCAAAACACAAGAAATTTGGCCTTTTTTGCTCTCCTCAGAAGAAAAATCCGTCAATATTCAATAATTAGGAAAAAGGTTTGTTTGGACTTCAGTTCAAAATTGGACTGCGCTTGCGCATTTGATCATATCAAACCTATATAAAGAAATGCGAAAGCGTAGTTCAATTCTGAACTGAAGTCCGAACAAATCATATTGAAAATATCGATTTTGGAAGAACTATTTTGAAAGCTGATTTGATTACAGAAACCTTTATTATAAATAGTTCGGATCGCATCGACGGCGCATTGTTCCCCAAAATTTTATTAGGCAGTTTGCCTTCTATCCGTGAGGATATGTATTCTGTGGGGAAGCGTTATCCTCGAAAGTTTCCAAGTAGGCAGAGGAGCTTCAGTGATCAAGACGGAATTGACTTGAATACACCACACTTCAATTAGCTCTTGATATTGCGGAAGAATTTTTCCTTGATTTGATAAATATATCTCTATCACAGAGATTTTTTCCGGATACTTGGAAATGTTCCACTGTCCCAATCGAAAAGGTCCCAAAATCAATACTTTCTTCAGAGCATAGGCCCATAAACACATTACCAGTTTATGAAAAAGACATTGGTGTAGTATTTTAGGATCTCAGTACAGCTTTTGAGACTGTTAACATTGATCTTTTGTTACTAAAACTGGCAAAGAATGGTATTCGAGGCAAAGTAGCTAGAATGGTAAAAGGGAAACTTAACTAAGAGATTTCCTCGAAGATTTCAGAAGGTTAAATTAAAAAATGCCAATTCTAATAACATAGGGATAGATGAAGAGGTTCCTCAGGGTTCAGTGTTGGGACCTATCCTGTTCCTCTTGTTCATTAATGATATATTTCTTCATGTCAAATAAAATATTCTCAGATGACACTTATGCTTTATTTTGCCTGCAATATTGATGAAATTTCAGTAATGAGAAAACTTTTAAACAAAGTTCTTGAAAATAATAATGTGTGGATTACAGAAAATGACTTACTTAAAACTAAATGTTGCAAAAAAGAAATTCATGATTCTTGTGTCTAAACACTGCCTCAATCAAGTTCAAAGACAAGGTAGTAATGCAGCAGTAAAAATAATTATGAATAATGGTATTTTAGAACAGGTTAAATCTTTCAAGTATTTGGGTGCTATGCTGGATACTGAATCTAATCTATCCTTGCACTGTGACTACATAAAGAAAAAAAAAACAAAAAAGCAGGTTTTATATTATATTGGTATGTAGAAAACATACAAGGAAGAATCTAGGTTGACCCCAGGACATTTATTCTTGAAACAGGGGAGTGATGTTCCCAGGAGAATGAGTGTTTTGTCTTTCTCAGTGATGTACAAATGATAATATAAGTAACAATGACGAAACACTCGTTCTCCTGGGAACGCTGCTCCCGTTTCAAGAATAAGGACCCAGATCTTTTAATTAATTTCGCTGACACCAATGACCAAGTTATTGAGGTTATACTAGAGTTTGTCATAGTCGTCCCTATTCATTATCAAAGAGGTAAATTTTAAGTCATCAGGGAACAGTTGAAACTGACTATGAGCAAAACATTTTCCAATGTAATTTATGAAGAGATTGAATAAAAGGTATCCCAAGTGTGATCCTTGTGGCAGTCCAGAAGGAGCTTCTATCTTATAGGAGAAAGTTTGCAATTGTCTCCTTCCAAACAAATAGCTTTGAAATGGGCATCAACTTCAAGTACTGCAAGTTTATGTAGCAAAATTGCATAACACGCCTTTGAGAAATAAAGCTAAGTCCTCATAATTGCGAATTGCGAAGTTTTTTTCTGCAGAATTTTTCCTATTGGTTCAAATTATTTGAAATTATAATGGCGCGAAAATCTCGCGAATGTTTTCAACTTCTTGCGGCAACACAAAAAAATTGAAATAGTTCAAATTTTCGACAAAAAATCTAGGAAGTGAGGTTATGCAAGTTTATTCGCCAAAAAGCTAAAATTATTTAAACTTAAAGCGAGATTTTCCCGCCATTATAATTTGGACCAATAGGAAAAATTCCGCAGAAAAAAAGTTTGCAATTCGCGATTATGAGGACTTAGCTTAAGTGTAGTAGATGGTGTTTATGGTGTTCACCTAACAGCCATTCTCCAAGGCGCCCGCCAAATAGTCAACATGGGTTAGTCATTAGTCACTTGACCTTTGTACACAAAAACCAAATTGGACGATGAAAGTCAAATATTGTTAACATTAATGGGTGTTTAATGACTTCGCTTCTTGCACCATATTTTAATCTCCCATTATAATATAGTATAATCAGAGAAATTGTTATGTCCTGTTCTTTGAAAAAAAAAAAATGTAAGGACTATACATTTATATTATATTGCCTCACACTGTATATTATATGACTAACCTAATTACTATTAAACAAGTTTCATGTATGTAGCTTTCTAAAAACCACAGCTCCATAGTGAAAAAGGCCCTATGTAAATTATTAATTTACATGTTAGTTAATAGTGCAATTTTCCAATTATCAAAATTATTTGTACAAATATAATATGAAAACAATTACCATAATCATCTACTTCTTCGGCCCAGGTTGTAGTCGACTTTCTAATGGGTTGCGTAGGTATGCTACCGGTAGTTTCCTGAAGGAAGTCCGTTAGCGCGAGGGTTTTCCCTTTCGTCTTCTTCGATTTCTTGCCTGAAAATTGTAAAATATTGGATACATTTCTAGCACGAGGACAAACTGCATTTTTGTTCCTATGTTAGGTTAAGGACGATCTATTAATATAGATTTAAAAGGTGTTGTAATAACTGTATGATCAATAGTGTGACCTATGTAGAGTGAGTGGAAGGGAATTACTAGTGCTTGAATTAGCAGAAAGGATCGCGTATGATTAAAAAAATTAAAATAGGACAAGACACAACTAACCTGAAGCCATATTTCACAGAAAAGAAATGAAGGAAATTTTTTGACGTCAACTGACAATCAAAATCGTCTACCTGAATAGCGAATTTCCGCTAGGGCTGCCAACGTAACTGAAGGATAGGCGCGAAAATCAAAATCACATCAAAATTGATCGAGTTTTATGGCGTTTTCGATTACCAGCACTAGTGCAGAGTGCGCACTAGGGCCGCATTTTGAGAGTGCAGAGCAATCATTCATGTTCGAGCGAGGGTGCAGTACACGCTCCGCCGAGCATCAACCCAAACGGAGCCACAGGGAAAGGAGTGCACCGTGTTAAGCCAAATATAGACGATCGAATCGTGGGTTCGGAATCCGTAACCAGGGTTCTAAATAGTGCAGAATTTGGAAAAGCTCGAACGATACTCGCGCAGTCAAAAAACCGAATAAACAGCTCGGGTAGTTGAACACGAACACTTGGCCAAACATAAAACTGGTACAGGCAAAACATATATTTTGAATTTACCTAGTGTGACTCAGGCTTAACAACAAAAAGTCTCTTCTAAAAAACATAGGCTAGACAGTTTTTGTTATTGTCAAAGCTGAACAAAAGGAAATGCAACATGTTTTTATGTTATGATTGGTTTAAATATGACACTGACTTGACTCTTTTTGTCATTATTGAGGTGATAAAAAAGGTCGATTTACATAATACAACACATTAGGAAAATGCGTACCAGTTTTATCTTTGGCCAAGTGTACTGCGATTTTGGTAGTTCATGCTCTGAAATGACCCGAACACGAATTATTGCCCTACACTCTCAAAATGCGAGCTGAATGCGCACTAGTGTTGCTGGTACTCGAATACGTCATCAATAACCCCATCCCAACTCAAGGATAATACACCCTACTAGATTGAGATTGTTTATCGGCCTCGTTTTTGGTAATCTCGGTCATATGGGTATAGCACCATTGCCGACGTCATTAACTAAGTCATCAGTCTCTTGCGCCAGCGGTCGTCGGTCGTAGCTTCGAATTTAAAGTTTTGATGACAAATATTATTTAATTTTGATTACTATAATAGGTAGAGAGGAATATGCAAACGATTCTAGAAAAGAGTTGTTTTAGAATGGTAATGACCATTTCCACCAACTAATTTAGGGAAGCCCTAACGATAGGTATGCCTTAAACTGACATTTCTCCATGTAAAAATGTCATTTTAGGGAATACTTATCGTTAGGGCTCCCCTAAAATGGTTGTTGGAAACGGCCATAAGTAATATAGTGTAAAATCAAGTATGAATACAGCCTAGTCCTCATGGAGCGGAAAATCGCGTTGCGGGTGCGGAATATCGCTTTTCGTTCAAGAAGTAATTTTTGCGCGTTCACGTTCATATGAAGCGAGATTCCGGAAGCGGATTTTTATATTAAGGGTAATTCACATTATATTCTACACCCTTTCTATATGTACCTATTTCAGAGTCAGTTTAAATTCAGAAAGCGTCAATAGGCCGGCATAGACACACGTTCTTTCGCGCGGTTTATCGTGTCATCTGCAAAAACCTGTGAAAAATCAGGTGCGTGAGTGAGGAGGGCTGCACGCAATGATAGAATGGGAAGGGATTTCAGACGTGCTTTCATCTGGCATGTAACGTCAGTACTCAAGTACATGATAGTGCCGTTTAAACCCGTGTCTACACGCCATTCCAAGTCATGGTTTTGAGGCTAGTACGGAGACATAAACGCCGCGAACTATCACGTTGAAAATTAGTACATGACAACATGCATTTCGAAACGACAAGATAAGTGACACTTTTTACCCATACACATACGGTTTTTCCTTTCCAACTGATATGCCGCGCGTAATCACGTGCTAAATCATTTGAATACCTTGTCAAGTGTATGGAACATGACGCTTTTTTTGCCACGCCGTACTTTCGCGCGTGCAAACCGCTACATTCCAACACGCCACGATAAACCGCGCGAAATAACGTGTGTGTATGCCGACCTATTGATACGCAAAACTACTCAATGAATATAAAATACCGTAAAACGGGGTTACTTTAGAACGGCCAGGTGACTTGTGACACATGGTAGCGGGCGCACCAAATCCTCAACAGTTCGCGCATTTCTCAACCGACAACCTCGCGATTGCGCTCAAGGCATTCCAAAAAGCGCGCCAACAAATGAGTATACCTATCAATAAATGTTGTGAAAGACGATGTCCAGCTATGCGTGAGAAAAATATCAATAACAGATAATTTCAATATTTTACTTCTGCTGTAAACTTTTTTTTGCCCAACTGAGACTATCTCATGCAGCCAGGATTTGAGTATAGGTAGTGTTCTTTGTAGTTTTGGCTATTCACTGATGAATTAATATTTTCATAATTCTAATCAACAAGCATGTGACGTCATATTTAATAAAATTTCAACAAATTTCGTGGTGAAATTGTGACAGAATTTATGTGGTACCTACTAACATTGTTTATATTTTTTTAAATTTTATTCGAGTAACCTTTTTTTAGTTTATTTTTTAAGTTACCTTAGTTCCAAGTTAGGTATGTTTTTTTTACTTTTATATGTATCTATTAGACAAATATACCATTTAAAGGGGGTGTGCGCCAAAAAAACAACTCCATCTCAAAAAAAAAAGAGAAAAAAAATCTAAGAAAAACAGTGAAAACCGCACCCCTCTATGACAAATAATATCGAAGATATGGCTCTATAAAGGTACCGCATCTCACCCTATGACGTCACGAAAGCTCAAGCGACGCACGAGAAAGTGAAGTAAATTGAATTTACATATGTTTTTCCTGTATCACCTGCAATAATCTAAATAAAAACCACTCACGCGTGCCGGAAATAATCAAATTAACAATGCGGAACGCGGCTGGACGAAGCTCTCGTGACGTCACACACACTTTAAACAGTTATTCTTAGATTTTTTTACACTGAAACTTTAATTTTTGTCGCACACCTCCTTTAAGTTCAATGAAATTTGTTTTTGGGGGCACTTTGTGACACATCAGGGGCGAGTTCAGGAATGACACACCCAGTGTGAGTGTGACACCGGTGCGACGCCCTAGCTGTTCAAAAATGCCAGACGATGCTATGGGCCCAATGGCCAATTGTCAATTCAGGCACACTCATAAAATCGCACTCGCACCCTGTGCGTTATTTCTGAACTCGGCCCAGTAGTGCAAATTTTTAGTTGTCACAAAGATAGGGGTGAGATTGTGATTTTGTAAACCACGGCTCTACTTCTAAAAATTTTCAAAATATCTCATTGCATTTTAAAAGCCAAATGATGTGAGTTTATCATTGACCTACCCTACCAGAAATTAAATTTTTCTTTTTAGATTCAGAAAAATCATCCGAAACCGTGAAATTTCTCACAAAGTAACCTCGTTTCACGGTAAGCTAATGATCCCTAGGCAAGGTTGTTTGATAGAGGTTTTGCTTGCAAAGTTGTTAGAAGTTAGAGAGAGAACTTTAGGAACCTTTGGGTTGCCTGATAACTTTTATGAGGTCATCAGGAGTGCATGAGCATAAAGCAAATCTCCATTTAAGCACCCCAGATGACGTAATCTGTTTCCCATTACATTCTCCAAGGAAGTCCGAACGCGCCCTTGCATGTGCCAAGTTTGCTCATCCACCGCGAGCCAAAAGATGACACCCTCCTGACATTTCATGGATTTTTCTTGAAGTTAAGACGCGAATACTCAAACCTCTGCTCAAACCCAAGAACTCTCCACCATGGGATCGCTCATACTAATGCAAGGTTGTTTAAGAGTGATCGGTTGCCTGATAGCATTATGACGTCATCTCAACTTAAGCAAATTTCCATAAGGCACCCCAGATGCGGGTATTATAAAACTATTTTCTATAATAATATAATATAATAATATAATATAATCTTAATGACAATAGCTATCAAATGACGCATCACTCGACCCCCCTTTTCATTTGAAATTTTGTGGGTACCTGTCACCCCCACTTAGGGGTTCACAGGTAGGGGGTGAAAATAGCAATAAAATGTGTCCCCCAAAAAACAGAAATTGACGTGTCTGAGCGATTTTTGATTAAACACCTAACACCTGAGAAAACCTGGGTGGAAAGTTTTTCGTGCCCCACCCGGTACTTATTTTACTATAGGAATTCACATTGAGATTTAATATATTTTTTTTTTGTACGTAGGTACGCTATGAATGCACTCAGAGTTGCTTGCAGAACAAAAATTCAGTGGATGAAGAGTCATTTTTATATTAGCGTTCAAAAAGTACTTTTCGCACGGTCGGACACAGCTCATTTTTAGGAACAACACAACATACATTTTCGAAGTATTTTTGTATATTGTATATGTATATTTAAAAATGAGTATTAAACATAAATCAAACAATAATATGAGAATACCAAATACCATTTCTCGTTCTCGCAGAAAAAAGTACATTGTATTTCGCAGGAAAAGCACATTCTCGGCCTTCGGTGATTGCTAGTCAACTTACACCATCGGCCGAGAATTTGTCACTTTTCTACCTGAATCCACAATCAATCAATCAATCAATCAATCAATATATTACAGAATTTTTTCTAATTTACATTGTTTAACAAAGTATACTTATTGCTATGTGTAGTCTTAATTTGCTATTTTAACACCTAGGCGATTTGATCCCCTGTATGTGTTACCTAAATATTTTCAATTTGTTTGAAAATCAATATATTGTATTTTTTCTGAATCTATTAATCTTAACCTAATATTACATAAATATTTGCAGTGTAAGGCAGCTAAGCATTTTTTTAAAAACAATTGAATTTATCCTTATTTATTAATTTCTCTCTAATAACTTCATTTCAGAAGTTTAACAAATTCCTCATTTCTGTTAAATATAAGATATCTACAGTTTTTGATAAATTTTTTCAAATTTGATGTTTTCCTTAATTCTACTGGTAATAAGTTGAAAAACTTTGGGCCTAAATAATTTAAGAATCTCAAGTTCATGGTTGACTTACTTTGTGGTATCTGTAGGTTCATTTGAGTATTAGTTCGAGTTTGGTAATCATGATTCACATATTTCTTAAAATTACTTTGTTTGTATACAAAAATGCATGTTTCTAAGATGTATATGGATCTTACATTAAAAATCTGATCACTGTATAGTTGCTGGGTTGGGAAAAGTTTATTCTTCTTATATATAATTTTGAGTATATAATTTTGTGCCACATTGAGCTGTTCCAGAACATTATTATACAGACCACCCCAAACTATAATACCATATCTTAGTAGAGACTCTACCAAAGCCTTATATATTGATATTAATAACTTTCGGCCCATTGATTCTCTCAGTTGATAAAATTTGTGGATAAGCTTCCTGACATTATTTTTCAGCTTCAAAACCTGCTCTTCCCATTTCAAGTGCTTATCAATGATTACCCCAAGGTACCTTATGTGAGGGACCTCCTTGATTTCACTCTGGAAATTCTCCACGTAAATGCCAGAGTAATCCGGTCGATTTGCCATAGTGAGTGAAAATGCTACATATTTGGTCTTTTCAATGTTTAACGTAAGTTTTTTATTGTCTAGCCAGTTTTTCACTTTAATTAATTCACTACTGGCCGTCCTTCTCACATCACCCCAAGTGTCTCCTGAGAAAAGTAGAACGGTGTCGTCGGCGTAAGATGTTACAGAGCCCTGTATTTGCATGTTAGTTAAAGAGTTTATATATGCGATAAACAGTATAGGGCCCAGAACTGTACCTTGTGGAATACCTATTTTAATGTTTAACATATCACTATAGGTGTCTCTGATTTTTACTCTTTGTTCCCTGTCAGAAAGATAGGAACGAAACACCTCCAACACAACGCCCCTGACACCATAACTTTCCAAAGTGTTGAGAAGCTGGCCATGTGGTATATATATACAGGGTATTCCATTTGAAACGAAACAGGCGAAATATCTGATGCTACGTTTATTTTTTTTTAAATCGCTCTTACACGTAATTTGATTTTTAAAGGGGGAAGTTTTCTGCAACCATTTTTAGCACTTCAACTTTAACCCTCTAGGCGGGGTGGGACCAATCCTAAGTATTTTAAATGGAACAAGGGGTCGAGTGATACCTCTTCTAAAAGAACATTCAATTCTTTTTCATTTGATGTCATCTGAAAGAAAATTGAATATTTAGCCTGTTTCGTTTTAAATGGTATACCCTGTATACAAAGCACTTTTCACACTCGTGGGGCTTTGTGCCACCCGCCTGCCGCTCGTCGTGTCACCAAACTTCCCCACGCATGTGGAAGGTGCTATTTTCAACACTTGTTGCACAATATACCATTTTTTTACACTCGCTCGACTCGCAACAAACGACCTCAGTTTTAAGACTGTCAGTTTTTGAACTGAAGGAGAACTGAGCTTTCGCCACACATACCATACAAACATTTTGTCAGTGCTAATCGAACAGTCTCGCTGTAGTGAAAAATGTTTCGTACTAATAGAAAGAAACAACTAGCCGCACTTCTTGTGCTATTATTATTGCAAGAGTCAATAACAAAGGCAAAAAAACGTTTTTGGGTAAAAGATTGGCTGTTACAACGTTGAACGTGATACTTTATCTCATATGAGACTGGGACGAAAATTAAGAACTAGTGCAACAGACGACCTTAAAAATTACCTTAGAATGGATGACGCATGTTTTGAAGAACTCTAAAGGCCGAAACCCACTAGCAACACGCCACTCCATACCACGCCATGTGACACAGGTTCACGTGGGACAGTTTGTGTGCAAATGGTCGAATGGCGTGGCGTGCCATGGCGTGGTATCGTGTGTGGCAAGTGTGTACGTGGCACATATAAATAAATGGAAGAATATACGCATACATTTTCGTCACATGGCGTGGCGTGGCGAAGCATGACGTGGCGTGTTGCTAGTGGGTTTCATACTTTAAGCTTGGTTAAGCCGTTAATATCAGAGAAAAATACTAAAATGAGAAAAGCAATTACAGCCGAAGAACGTTTAATAGTGACGCTCCGATATCTGGCAACGGGGCGAAGTTTGGAAGAAGAAGAAGAAGTTTGGCAATTGCCTATAAATATCAATAAATTCGGTTAAAAACTCTGTATTATTGCTTGACTCGGCCATTTCACAAAATCGGAATCATAAAAACTTCCAACTAGTTTGAAGATGAAATCGTACTATATCAACTGACGATTTGTCTCCATACACTCTAGTCCGTCGTTAGAGACAAGTGAACTTCAGGCTCAGACCTGAGCCGCTTTCCAGTATGCACATTGGCGCGCTCTGGCGCGCTCTAGAGCACCTCGGGGGCGCCACGCAAGATTTGTACCGTTCCAGTATCATGATGTGAGACGCCTGTCTTAGTGTCAAATATGTCAAATTTTAAAAATAATTATCTGTTTGTTTGTGCAGTTTGTTTTTTTATTTATCATAAATGAAAGAGAATCAAAGCTATATTTTTTAAAATGTTCAATCTTGAGATATAACATGAAATAAACATAAATAGCCACCCACGGATGTGACAGCTGACAGGTTGACGCGTACGCACAGCTCGGGAGCTCAACGCCCCGAGTAGCTCCGGGCGTCACACTCCCATACTGGAAAGCGGCTCTGTCGACGGCCTGAACGTGTATGGAGAAATTTTAACTGACGATATGCATATCGGCAGTTCTGGACTGCAGGCTAACTGTAAGTGAATGGGTACCTTTATAGTTCATTGCCGTTACCTAACGGGAGTTAGCGGATGCCTTACCGTAACGCTATGCTATGTCAAAATTAGTTTACGCTACGCTCCATTTACGTATGCAAGAACAGCAACTCCTAATAATTTCACCATAAAAATCACAGGAAAATCAATTAAACTCAGGAATCTTCAGGATAAATAAAAGTTGGCAAACAAGCAAAAAAAGTTGGGTTAGATCACTCAGTTCAGCTGCCAAAATATAAACAGAATAAAGGATTAGAGGATTTTTGTTTCTTCATGTCCGAGAACTATAAAATACCATTAAAAATACTGTATTGTAAGCGGTACCGTATTAGCGTAGTGTCTGAGGCACGAGAACTTTCTATTCTATGGTTCTCGAGTCAGCGGTGATTTCAACGTTCAGTTATTCTTTTATTTGACCTAAAGTCTGGTTTTTTATTGAAGATAATAGCTACTCGCTCCGGTGTTAGTCGACCCCGATTTGAAAGGAACAGATGCGCAGTTTTTCGTGCATTTAAATGGTTTTGTTCGGGCTTGAGCACTTCCAGGTGCAACAAGCACTTTTCGAAAGTAATAAGCGCGTAACGCCCCGGAGCTGTTCCGGAGCTCCTCCTAGGTGTGAAAGGAATTCAACTAATGCATTCTTTTTTACGCCAAAACTTCAGAGCCGTTTTCTCGCGTTCACTTTTTTAACTTGATTGGTTCAAAACCGGTTTGAAATTCAGTGAAAACGGCTCAGGTCTGCGACTGACGTCATAAACACTGGGGAGTTGGTCGCGAAGGATGAGTTTCTTATCTCTCTCTTCGCACAAAGTAGACAAAGACAAACATATTCTTATTCATGATCTCATTTGAAAATATACTTGGATTTAGGAACGCACTTGTTTATATTTTGCATTCCAAAGTTTCCACATCACCATTTTAGGTTATGAAAAATTGAAAATTTATTTGAATACGTCAAAAAAATCGGAAAATACGAAATTTTCATTTTGATAACAGTTTCCGTAATGAAAATTGGTATTTGATTCATAGCTGAAAATTAATTTAGAATAATGATTTCAAGTTTAATTTCCCTATTGGTCCTTTGCTCAGCAATATTGGGTATCTATGCATCTGAGCTAACTTTTGAGCTCCCAGATAATGGAAAAGAATGTTTTTATGAAGAAATAAAAGCTAATACTACTGCAACACTCGAATTTCAGGTAAATTTCAATTCCTAGTTATCACCTAAAACTTGTATTTTAGTAAAGACAGAAAGGAAAATATATCAAATGTTATTTTTACTTCAGGTTGTTACAGGAGGCCAGTACGATGTAGATGTAACTCTCCTCGATTCAAGACAAAATGTACTTTACAAACAACAAAAAATGCAATTTGATTCACACACATTCACAGCACAGCACACAGGAGTCTATTCAGTTTGTTTCAGCAATGAATTTTCCACTTTCTCACATAAATTAGTGTACATGGACTTCCAAGTAGGTGAAGAAGAACCTTTACCTGGAGTGGGTGAACACGTCACTGCTTTAACACAGGTAAGAATCTCACTTTCTTGTTATTACATATTTATAATAATTGAATACAATTTTTGCAACAGATGGAAACGTCTACAGTAGACACGCATAAATATTTAAATCTGATCATAGATTTACAAACACATCATAGGCTTCGTGAAGCACAAAGTCAAAAACGGGCTGAAGATTTAAATGAAAGAGTGCTTATTTGGTCTATATTGGAAACAGTTTCTGTAATAATAATAGCTGCTAGTCAAACTTTTATGTTAAAAAGCTTTTTCTCAGAAAAAAGGCCTGTGGGTCGTTAAGTGTTAATGGAAACAAAATCTTTGTCATATAATTAAATGATATTGTATTCGACAAGTGGCCTGTGTAATTTGTATGTTAAATAAATTATTTTAGTTATTAAATTGTCATTCCATCATAAGTATAATGTACCTAATGCAATGTAAATACAATACAAATATTTATGGGCAGCAAGCAGCCCTATTTGGCATAGAATAAATAAACATTTTAAATATTTCAAACTTCACAATTTGTATCAAGGGTGTTTTTCAAAAATAAATCTAAATAAGAGAGGACAGTCTGTTATGATTCCTTTCTTTATATGTAGATAATATTAGATTTGATAAGTTTAAAATTGTGTTTGAAAACCTTTGAATTTTTTTTGCTTTTATGGTTCCCAGACGTAGGATTAAGTATAATTCCAAAGATAAATACAATAATTAGAAGACCTAAACATGTATTTGCTTTAAAAAAAACGCCAACATAAAATCTGAAAAGCATGTCTTCTTTTTGTTAATTATCCTGGATCAGCAACTAGGCTGGAAGCCTTGTGCTCTATAAGCCTTCCTGGCCACACAACTTCTGTTATTCCCTAAAGTGTATTAGAGAGCCGGGCAGCTTTAACTGCATTTCATTCCTTTGTTCAGTCTCGAGTGCGGTATGGTGTTAGTTTTTGGGCAAATTTTTATGAATTTGAAAAGATATTAAAGCAGAAACGATGCATGCAATCATTGTGTGCCCTTAATAACAGAGATAGTTGTCGGAAACACTTTATGCAACATGGGATTCCGAGTGGGATTCATAATTACAATCTTTACATACTGAAATCTGTGTGCTTTATTCTTGACAATTCAAAGATATAGAGGCTAAACACTCACATAATACTCAAAATGACAATCTTAAGACTGAAGTTGCAAAATACAATTATATCCAGAAAAATGTCAAGGCACAGTATTTTGGAGATCTGGATGGAATCTGGAATCATTGGCCAATAAGTCTAAGACAAACAACTTCGAAAAATATAAAAACTGAAATAAAATCATACATTGTGTCAAAATCATAGTGTAGACGATTTCTTTGTGGATCAAAATGTAAAAGAAACTTTGATGAAAAGAAATGATTTAAAAATCACCAAAAGTATATTTAAAATTTTGTGTATTGTATGACTGTGATTGCTGTTGTCTAATTTGTTTTTTTTCTGCTCTTCTTTAAATAGCAAGATTTTCATACAGGGTGTCCTGGATAAGGATGCACTCTGCAGGGATCTCGGTAACCATAAGAGATACAGGGTTGGTTAAATTTGGAAAAAAGTTGCGCATTACTGTGGCATCATAATTTGATATTTCGGAAATTCCGAATGATTCCGAAGATATCCATAAAAAACCGAATTTTGCCCAAATCGTTTTTATTTTTTTTTGATGGGGACCATTAGTGGCCATTAATAATCCTGGAATTAGGAGCTTGATATGTCGATGGATTTAGAATAAAAATTAAATAAATTTTTAATAAAATTTATTAAAAATTTCGACCATTTGAGAAAACAAAGTTGATGATGATCGCAAAGAAAGGAAACGTCTGATCAAAAATCTAATAACATTATCATTTAGTGGAGAAAAAGTGGCAATGAGAATGTAAAGTTTATTCTGCGATATCATTTCAAATAAACTCAGAAAAAAATAAAAACGAATTCATGCATTCTTATCCAGGACACACCAGTGACACACCCAAAGGATCCTAGGTGAATCTCGAGCAACTTAGGGCGGGTATTATAAAACTGCTTTGACAGTTAACTTAAAGTTAACTCTCAAAGTAGTTTTATAATACCCGCCCTTAAAGTTCTTTATTCTCTCCGTTAAGTAGGATTTTGATGATGATTGTCGATTGATCGTACCAAAGCCTTTGAAAAGTCAGTCAGTATGTCCTCTAAATTGGGACACCCGATTTTTCCTATTGTAAAACGGGCTCACCAGCTATACCGTACACCGTCAGCAATGACAGGGATTGTCATATAATTTGACAAAAAAATCTGTTGTAGAAAAGACGATTCACCCAAAATAGCGAAAAATGACAAGACCTGTCAGTCGGGTGTCTCACTTTTAATGCTCACGAGTCATAACTGTACTTTCTGGAAGGTTTGTGACAAGAAATCCAAAAAGGTAATTCAGTGGAACCTCATAAAACCCTCATGGCTGCTCAGTTAGTCCCAAACTATCTCAAATGGTTATTTGAAGCAGTGATAAATTTGTTTATTTCCTACTGAACTATTATAACCATATAATATTTTGGTTACGATAATCATAAACAGGAACTTAACTCCCAAGGGAGTTAAGGACTTCATAACTCCCGCGCGGGAGTTAAGGATATCATAACTCCCAAGGGAGTTAAGGATTTCCATAACTTTTGCTTTTACCTTGAATATAGGTGAAACTTTGACAAAAAATAGACATTTTGGTTTATGGTTTATTTTTTTTATAAAAATGGACAAGATACAGTAAATTCAGTAGGAAATAAAATTATCTATGTACCACGGGAATTATCAGCCCCCGGATTCTATTTTACGAGTCGAGTCGAATTGTCTGGATATCGAATACGACAGCTTCGGACGTACCGTGTAATACGTATGGAAAAATCGAAAAATAGAATCGCTATTTTGACAATTCGATACGAATTTCAACTCGACTCGTAAAATAGAATCCGGCCTCAGGTGTTAATACCCCTACATATAAAGTTCGATAGGTTTATCTCTAACCATTTATAACCAATTTCGGTTTTTCTCATAAGAAGCAATGTGTTAGAAAAGGACTTTATATCTGTAAGGAAAATGAAAAAGGTCTCTTTCTAATACATTGTTTCTTATGACAAAAACCAAAATAATTTTTTTTCTCGTAAACGGTTAGAGATAAACCTATCGAACTTTATATCATTAAAATCAGAAAAATCATAGCTTTGCAATGAGCTATTACTATAAAGGGTGTCCCATTGAAAAAATCAGACTTTGGTCAATATCTCAAAATCGGCGCCAAATAGAAAAAAACTAAGAACATCACCGGATTCTGCTTAAAAAAGTGCTTCCAGAAAGTTTTAACGGAAATCAATTATTTTCATAAACAAAAAAGTTATGAGGGATTCACAATATTGCTCAAAATCGAAAATCGCCCTCTAGCGGCTAAACGGTTGAAGATATCAAAAAGCGGTTTGCACCAATCAAAATTTCATGAAATTTGAGCCTCAGAGTGGGGGTTAATTTTTTTCTATCTCTAAAAATAGAGGGGGTTTCCATAAGGAAGTATCCAAATTGGCCCACCCTGTACAGGGTCATTGGTTTATAAATTTCACCCCCTCTATCTTTTTTATTTGACATATTAGGAAAAAGTGTCCCAAGTAAAAGTTTTATGGTTGAAAATATTTTTTTTAAAAAACTCACATTTGCATGGACAGGGTGTCCGAATTTGGATGGTTTTAATAGGAAATGTCAATTTCTGAGAGAGATACAAAAAAATGAACCCCCCACTCCGAGGCTCAAATTTCTTGAAATTTTGATTGGTGCAAACCGCATTTTGATATCTTCAACCGTTTAGCCGCTAGAGGGCGATTCTCGATTTTGAGCAATACTGTGAAATCTTCATAGCTTTTTTGTTTATAAAAATAACTGATTTCTGTAAAAACTTCCTAGAAGCACTTTTTCAAGCAGAATTCAGTGACGTTTTCAGTTTTTTTCTATTGGGCCTCGATTTCAAGATTTTGACCAAAATCCGATTTTTTCTAATGGGACACCCTATATATTAATAGGTCATTAGAAAGCTCTGCTTTTGCTGATTTCAATGATAAAAATTTCGATAGGTTTATCTCTAACAGTTTTTGAGAAAAAAAAATATTTCAGCTTTTGTCATAAGAAACAATGAGTTAGAAAGAGACCTTTCTCAGTTTCCTTACAGATATAAAGTCCTTTTCTTACACATTACTTCTTATGACAAAAACCGAAATAATTTTTTTTCTCGAAAACTATTAGAGATAAACCTATCGAACTTTATATCATTGAAATCAGAAAAAGCCGAGCTTTCTAATGAGCTATTAATATATAGAGTGCCCTATTGAAAAAAACCAGACTTTGGTCAATATCTCGGAGTTGGGACCAACTAGAAAAAAACTGAGAACGTCACTGAATTCTGCTTGAAAAAGTGCTTTTAGAAAGTTTTTACGGAAATCAATAATTTTCATAAACAAAAAAGTTATGATCGGTTATGATGGTTTCACATTATTGCTCAAAATCGAGAATCGCCCTCTAGCGGTTAAACGGTTGAAGATATCAAAATGCGGTTTGCACCAATCAAAAATTCATGAAATTTGAGCCGTGGAGTGGGGGGTTCATTTTTTTGTATCTTGCTCAGAAATTGATGTTTCCTATTAAAACCATCCAAATTCGGACACCCTGTACAGGGTGTTTCAGAAAAGCTGGTCGTGCTCCAACTTTCTTATTCTGAATAGAATATCCTGTATTATTGAATATACGGAATCTATATAAAATTCTTAGCAGATTTCATGTGATATACCCTATACCTAAGTTCAACTGTTTTGAAAATAATGACAGTTGAAAATTGACTTTTTTGCAACTTCGACAGGCTGTGAAACCTGAACGGTTAATTTTAGAGCAAAACCGATGTTACATTTTGCTCTTAGATTTTTATAAACTATCAGTTAACATCACTATAATATTTGACACCAACGTTGACTTTAATCTATGATTGAAAATTCCAATTAAATAATCTCCGGTTAAATTCAAAGTTAGTGTCAAATGATAGCTTATGACAATCTAAGAAAAAAATGTAAGATTGGTTTTGCTCAAAAGTTGAGGTTGCAAAAAAATCCATTTTCAACTGTCAATATTTCCAAAACAGTTGAACTTAGGTTTAGAATATATCACATAAAATCTGCCCAGAATTTTACGTAGAATCCGAATATTCAATGATATACAAGGTATTTCATTTAAAATAAGAATGTTGGAGTACGACCAGCTTTTCTGAAACTCCCTGTATATGGGAAAGTGAGTTTTTCAAAAAAAAAATTGTGCAACCGTCCGCGAACTAAGCTGCTACGCAGGCTGCGAAATTCAGTTTTGCATAATTTTATAATACATGTATACTAGAAAAAAAACAGGTTTCAATTTAGTAGATGGACCATGGATCGCAAAATCGGCGGATGCGGCAGCACTGAATTACTAGATAAATATGGAAACCCAACCTAAGAATATAATATAATTTCTTGCTTCTTAAGTTTTAACTTAAGTTAGCTCTAAATTGACTGCCATTTTTTTCTTAAGTTTTACAGCTAAAGTCTTACGGCTTAAGTCTTACGTTATGGAAGCTCTGAGCGGACCTTTTTGACAACAGAAAAACAAATAACTTATGACCACAAAAAAAAAGAAGAAATAATCAAGTAATACCAGGATTTTTTAATTAAGCTAGCTTCATTACATTTTATTCAAAAATCACAGGATAATTACCTTAATACATTTTTTTGACTAGAACACATTGCATAGAATAAATTAGTTTAGGCATAAACTTAAAAACATAAAAAAAAAATCTCAATAAAAGGCGAGTTTGGTAGATCTTCCGCGAGCTAAAAGATGACATTATTAACAGAAGCTCACATGATATTTCATTTGAAGTAACAAAACCAGTCACATGGGGTTACCATCTTTTTGCTCGAGGAGGATTAACCAAACTCTACTAAAACTTGTTTAAAAGTAAATGCTTGTAGGTATAACGAAAAATAAATAACTCTGTATTCAAAAGAATCAGAAATAAGTTAATTAAAGCCCACAAGATTACTCAAGCATATTTTGCAAACTGTTATTTTCAATTACCTGGCTGGTCAAGAATGATTTCTGATTCCTTAGAACAATAAAAAAAAAGCTAATACCTAAGAAATAAGCGAGAAAATAAGTAAATAAAGACGTTTACAACTTACAAACTTATAACAAAAATAATGCTCTTTTTACACATAGAAAACAACAAAAACGGAACGAATGTGAGCCTTACAATAACTTATACAATAAGTAGGTATTTAAAATGATTTTGTGCTTAAATATACACCTCAATATTTTGTATAAATTTACAATGAAAAAAAAACTATATTGAAGACATCTAGAAAAAAATCGTTTTGTTCTGTGTTAGTTCATAAAAGTACCCGTTCCTGCACACTAAAATACACTGCAGGATTGCAAATATAAAATAATCTTTAGGAAATTGATGTAAAATATGAGGAAAATAAACTGGAAATTAATCTTTGGTAATTAATTCACTGGTATGAAGCCTCAAATGACATTAATTAAAATGAGATCATAAAAAACAATCCATACCAAGCATTTTACTTTTGGCTTATAATACCTATTATACTGAAGAGACAGGACCAGTCATTCATAAATCACCAAATGCAACATCAAAAAACGTTTAATTTATTTCTGTAAACTTTGGTAATACCTTGTTTCATGATCCTATGAAAATCTGCTTGACTCAGCTATAATGAGTCTGGGTGGATTGTATTAGAAGTTAGGCAAGAATATTTGGTTATCTGAGAAAATACTTTTTTTACTACGCAGAGCAATGTGGTGATTATATGATGTTGCAGTAAAATAATAATCACCTTGTCGGGTCTCTTCTAAGGTTAGATGTTGCTTACAAGCATTCTTTTAAGCGTTTATCTTCTAAACGTGGCACAGCTAATATAGGCCAATAATCTCAATTATTCCCCTGGCAGTCTCAAATAATAAACTATAAAAAAATAAAAGCTATATAAAACCGTAGCATACAGAAAATAACTAAAAAATAAATTAATAAATATCACAATAAAGCGCAAAAAAAAAACTCAATTTTGTTTTAATTGGTAGGGTGACTTGGCGGATCTCGGCGGTACTGCTTTAACAGCAACCAAATTCCTGGAAAAAATAATTTAAGTATTTACAAATTTATATTTTTTTTTTATGACTGAAAACAAAAACAAAAATACATACTTCGCGTTGTGAACGTCTACAAGACTCTTGAGGGCTTGTTTATACTTCCCTTCCTGTTCCAATTTGGATGTGGTACTTCGACTCATTACAGAATGTGGAGGTAATCGAATAGTGATGTGACTATTTTCCATTTCTTTTTTGATAATGTCATCAACTAAGGCTTTAATTTGAGGGCAAATGGCTGGAGGTGTGTAGTCTTGAGTGGTTCTTAAAGGCATGTCGAGTTTTAGGTTGAGAATATTTTCACCCTGAAAGAAATCGGTAATTAGGTAAAATTTGAAAAAAATATTTCAAATTCTGGTGAAATTACAAATGAGAATAGTATATTCTGAGTGTGGAATAAGCAAAAAAGCAACTTACATTTCATGGTATTTTTGAGGTTTATTAGTATTTCTGAAGTTTGCGTAGTGCAATAATAAATATAAAGTTGAAATTTGTTGGGTTTGGGAACTTTGGGAATCTCCCTTTGTACAGGGAAAAAACAAAAAATCCTTTTGTATAGAACGCTGATTCTGTAATGTTATCTTGTTTATGTTAGAATTGGTTTTATTAACAAGATATTCACTAATGCAGAGAGAATACATTACAGAATCAGCAATCTACAATAGAGTTTTTTCCCTGTACCAAGGGAGATTCCTACATGATCTCAGGAGTCGGATACACAAACAATACAGCCGAGATATTCAATAAAATATAAATGTCCAACCTTACACAAATAACACAGTGCTCTCTTTTGAATGACAAAAACAGAATGAAACTATTAGAAAAGTTACCCCAAAATGCAATGCCATACATGATATGTGATTCAACCAACGAGAAATAAACCAACTTAGCAGTATTTAAACCAAGTTTATTTGACGCCATTCTTGGCGATAAGCTCACTTTCATTAAGACTGATGAATACCTGTTCTAAAAGATTAAACATGGCATCATGGATGTCCTTAAATGGTTGGATTCCATGAGTGTCACTCATTATGTTGTGTTTTGAAAAATATTTCAACATTCTTTCTTTAACTGATTTTTCAAATAATTTTGACAACGTCGAGAGAAGTGATAAAATGCATTATCAGGTAAGTTTTTAAGCAAATTTATTGAAACATCTGGTGTCCACTGGATTTATTGTTTTTTATTCCTCTAAAGATTTCATTAAGTTCTAATACGTTTGTACTTTCCAGTACAAATGTATCATTTATAGTGACATCCAATAAATAAAAACAAGGATCCACATATTACTTTTAAAATTTTGCTGTAAAGTTTCAGCAACAGTACAGTAAAAGTTGTTAAGAATGTTGGGATCTGAGAAGAACTGAGTTTTTACCAGTTAACTGATTAATTATTTTCCAGTTTTCTTTGCTTGCATTTTTCGAGGATTTTATTCTATATACAGGGTGACACAAGGAATAGGGAACAACCTATAACTTTTTTAATGTATAAGTTGAAAATTTGAAATTTGGGGACCTTAAACAAGGCGACTTTTTGAATTTTTTAGAAGTTAATTGCGTTAAACCGGAAATGACCATAACTTTTTCAAATGGAACATCCGGTATTTTTTAAGTTTTTTGGCATCAGCAGATCATTTTACATATTGTTTAGGACCAGCCTGTTTTAATAGAAACAGGCAAACTTAATTTTTGAAATAAGTTGAAAATAAGAAAAAACGACTCACGATAAAGATTTAAAAAAATGGGTAATGGCAAGGTCTCACCTCTGTGTCCTGGATTCTAGCTTACCCGGCCGGGGTTTCTTGATGCTCCCAAAAATGAGCTTCCGGATAGTATTATTGAGCGAAAGTACATCCGATAACCGAAATCATTGAGATCGATTGTTCTCAACGTGTCACCAAAAAACGCGGATGTAAAAGACCGTGACGCTCGTCGACTCAAGCTGTACTTTTTAACACTGTCGTAGGTTTCGTATCTCCATCGTGAGGTATAGCGCGCAAAACCCCACAAAAAGGTATATGTTTATAAAAACTCAACGCTCGATTCTTGACTCTGTGATGGAGTCCTATTAATATCGATAAATAAGAATTACCCAATTCTGAACATTCCGCCCACCAAAAATAATAACTTATTTTTCCTTTCTGTCCGCAACAATACACTACAACGGCCATATGTATAACATTGAGCGTACCTATGATAAGCCCCCCCCAAAAAAAAAAAAAAAAAATTGACAGGTAATAATAACAATAATAATAGCTAAGTACCTAATAATAATAATAAAAAAAAAAAAATACATAATATTAAATCCTATAAGGCCAATTATTCTATGGGCAAGGCACACAACTTAACTAAGGGCCTATCCATAAAACCTTTAGCCGTACGGACTTGCACAATTCGCACGACATTATCGCGACTGAGATACAACTTAGTAATGCGCCCAAGAACCCATTGTAAGGGGGGCGAATTTTCATCCTTAATTAGGACCAGAGTGCCGACTGTAGGAGCCTTTTCCTCTCGGTTCCACTTATGCCTCTGCTGAAGAGTGTGCAAGTACTCCACTGACCACCTCTGCCAAAAATGTTGATGCATGTGTTGGAGTAATTGCCATCTAGTAAGCCTGTTACTATTAATTGATGTGAGGTTTTCATCCGGAGGAGCCGTTAAAGGCTCCAGGGTTAGAAAATGTCCTGGGGTAAGACAAGTAAGGTCGTTGGGATCGGAACTCAGTCTACATAAGGGTCTTGAATTCAAGACGGATTCGATTTGTACAACAACGGTAGATAGCTCCTCGAATGTAAGCACCTGCGTACCTACAACGCTTCGCAAATGATTCTTTACTGACTTCACCGCCGCTTCCCATAATCCTCCAAAGTGAGGCGAAGCCGGAGGATTGAAATGCCACTTAATAGCGAGGCATTGCGAAGACTGTTTTGAATATTGCTCCAATAAATTATTTGCGCCCACAAAATTTGTACCCTGATCGCTATAAAGGTCAGAGCAAGCGCCTCTACGACCGACAAATCTTCGAAGAGCCGCCAGAAATGCTACCGAAGATAGGTCCGAAACAACTTCCAGATGCATAGCCTTGGTGGCTAGGCAAACAAATACGCAAATATAACCCTTCTGACTGCAAATCCCGCGTCGCCTTCCCAGAGTTATTTGCACCGGACCCATAAAATCTATTCCAGTGTGACGAAAGGGTTTTATTTGATAAAGACGTGCATAGGGCAAATCGCTCATGAATGGCGAAAAGGAAGTAGGTCTCAACCGAAAGCATATCACACACTTTGACAGAACATGACGAATAGCCCGCCGGGCTGAAAGAATCCAGAACTGCTGCATCAAGAGATATTCCAGAGTTTGCAGTCCAACATGGCAATGCTCACGATGGAATGATTCAATAACGAGGTCTGTGATTCGATGAAGCCTAGGCAAGAGCATTGGATGCTTTGCTTCAAAGGGAAGCTTTGAATTTCTTAGACGTCCGCCTACTCGAATAATGCCTTTCTCGTCCAAAAAGGGACTCAACTTTCTCACAGTCTTGGAGCACCATTTACCTGCTCTAAGATTACGCAAGTCATCCGCAAATGCGGATCGTTGCGCCAACCTAACCAATACTATCAAGGCTTGGTGCAACTCAATTTGCATCAAAGGAACAAATTGTCGCGCATTAACGCGTGCTCGACAATTATCAATGAATCGCAGACAATAAGCTACAATACGCTTTATTTTTTGAAGAGATGAATATTTATTCAACAGAGCCTCAATAACATTAGGGGGGACACTGGCGATACACACTAAGATTCTGTCCTCACAGTCAACATTCTCTCCCACTACTGGAGAGAAACTACTAGCTGCCCAGAGCTCACTGACCTCTTTAAGCCACGGTGGCCCCGCCCACCATAACGGATGGTCGCAAAGCTGACCAGGCAAAATGCATCTGGAAGCGCAATCGCTAGGGTTTTCCTTTCCACTTATATAAAACCAACGGGAAGGTGGAATGATTTCCTGAATTTTGGCAACACGATTAGCCACGAAACTTTTCCAACGATGGGATGATGACCTCACCCATCTCAGAACAACCGTTGAGTCAGACCAAGCAAACACATTATCTATCTGGACAGTCGTAAAAGATGCCATCACAAATTCAAGAAGTTCGCACAACAGAACAGCCGCACACAATTCCAGCCGGGGTATAGACAATCGCTTAAGTGGGCTTACTCGGCTTTTAGCGCATAATAGGGTGACAAAGACTTCATTCGACACGTTCACTTGTCTTAAGTACACCACGGAAGCGTAAGCCTTTTCCGAAGCATCACAAAATGCGTGTAACTCAGAAAGTATCACATTATCTACAGTTGCCCTTCGAGATACACTCACACTGGCCAAACCAGGCAGCTGAGAAAACAAAGGAATCCCACTGAGCGACAACCAAATCCGAAGGACTCTCATCCCATCCCAATCCTTCAATCCACAACAACTGAATTAAACATTTAGCAACAATGACTACTGGAGCCAGAAAACCCAACGGGTCGTATATCTTAGCAATCTCCGACTGAATATTGCGCTTCGTGCAAGATCTATTAATGGACTTTACACAATACGAAAAACAATCTGACAAGGGTGACCACTGAAGGCCTAAAACCTTGATACCAGAGAACTCCCTGTCTTCAAAAGAAAAGGGTTGGTGGTGTGAATTTGGCATACCAGAAAGTACCTGAGGACAATTGCTGCTCCATTTTCGCAGTTCAAATTCTCCCAAGGCTAATAAAGATACCAATTGTCGCTGGGCTTCCAAGGCACCCTCTACAGAATCTGCCATACCAATTGCATCATCCACATAACAAGAATTGGTAAGAATATCCACAGCCAATGGAAAGCTAGTCCCCTCATCCTTACAGAGCTGTAGCAATGTGCGAATGGCCAAATATGGGCTAGAAGATAATCCATAGGTCACTGTATTCAGCCTGAATTCCTGAACCGGTTGGGCAGGAGATGACCTCCACAAAATTCTCTGATAGTCTCTGAATTGCTCGCTCACCAAAATTTGGCGATACATTTGCCGAACATCGGCCGTGAAAGCAATTTTGAAACGACGAAAAGACAACAAAATTGTAGCAATATCATTCTGGAGCTTTGGTCCTGTCAACAAAAGTTCGTTGAGTGACACACCGCTCGAAGTTTTGCAAGATGCATCAAACACCACCCGCAACTTATCACTGTCCGCCTTTATGACTCCGTGATGAGGGATGTAATATTTCTGATCAAGCGTTACATCACGAATGCTATCATTCACTACGGACATG